CAAACAAACAAACAAACAATCCCTTGGGAATGGCTACACTTGAACCTTCAGATCCTGATTTGGCCGTTTAATTCACGAGCCGTATAGATGGTGTTCAGATTAAATACTAAATACTTTAAGTTTGCACAGTTTTCAAAAAAGAAAAGTCTTTCACACATAACCTATACTTGATACATTTTTTCAGACGCGTTATAGGGTCTGATAGAAACATAGATATTTATAGTTCTAATCAATTCATAAATAACTATCATTGTGTTCTTTAAAACTCTTTAAGATTATCCACAAAAACGTAAACAATTAACGCGTATCTCGACTACTGTATAAACTGTAGGATTAAAAGTGATTTCTTTATTGAAATATTTATGTTTTTTTTATTCTTTGTTAACTCACCATATAGTAACCTGAATTAATTTAGCGTGTGAAAAATATTATGAAATTGCGCCTAATTTATTATTTGAAATTATACATGTTTAATGATTATTTTACAAAAAAAAAAAAAAACTTTATTGAAAGATTTTTTAAACAATAGTTAGTTACTGCATCTCTTTTGTGGTGCTTACTGAAACAACGATGTCTTGCGTACAGCATGGGTCTTATGACTTAACTGTTACTGTGCCAAACGTTTTCTCATCTATAAATACATATGATATAGTAATTGCATACGCTTGGTTTGATCATTGGTCATTAAAGGAGCTAAATCCCTTCTCATTATTGGTTAAATGAGTTACTTAACAATAAACAGATGTGTACGAAGGACACTAGAATATCATAAAAAATTTAATAGAGAAGTAACATACCTGTATCCCTAGTGCTTCGGAAGGAAACTTCTCTACCTTTGTAACGGCGAAGATAAAGCACTATGATGATCAAAATCATCAGAAGCACAGCCAAAGCAACAAAAAGTCCAATGTATAGAGCGATGCTGGCATTTGTTGTTGCTGGAAAAACTGGAAAAGTGAGACATAACAATTACAAGTTACACAAAATTATATGATAAATAATTGTTACAAAATATAGAGAAGAAATATATATATATATATATCATTATCATTGTTACTCATTGGACGCTGTATTAGCGCTGAAATAAGCGCTTCATCTTCAAGGTCAGAGGTTATTATTTGCACAAATTCCTGTAACTCTCAAAATGTCAGTTTATTTGTGGATGTAAGAATTTCTAGTTCTTACTCCGTATTGTAAATCCAAAAGTTTTAACTGTATACACCTGATGTTAAAAAGTGTCACACAATCTGTTTAGTTTGACAGAGGTCTGGTTTCAGAGCTTCCTGTAATAAAAGTCTTTCAATACGTTTATTAAGACCTCCATATCTAAATCTATTTACAGCTGTGTGAATTAAGGTATATGTCTTACGTTACAGTCCAGTAAACATTCTACAACGCAATATCACGACACGTGTGCTTGACGATCAATCACTTCATATCGTGGGCGTTCAGATGAAAGGTAGAGAGAGAGAGAGATAAGTTCGTGATCTGTGTCGATAACCTGTATGTGTGATGATTATTTAATTTATTACTAACTGTGTACCAGAAAGGGTCTGAAACATCTAACAGTGAAATATATTTGTAGACTGTACTTCTGCATGTCGTATACCTTCAGAGTTTCAAATACTGCCCAAGCTAAGGATATTCTATTTTTCAGATAGCACATAGTAAGAAATTATAGATATATTGCAGTTAACATTTATTGATAAATTTTAAATGAATTAACTGAATTATAACTAGGGATAACTAAACTATACATTTTACTTAGCATTTATTTATAGAAAGTATAATATTTCCTACTTGTTATTGCATCCTTGACCCATGTAGAAATTAAGCAACTTGATAGGATATTTTTACCTTCGTACAGAATTAGATCAATATATGTATACTCTAATATTCGCGAAACAAAATCTATCCTAATTCGATGACGAGGAACCCACTTTGAGACTAATAATGCTTGGAGACGGCTTGAATGGGTAATGAAGAAAAACTTTAATATAAGTTTAACATAACAGCAAATATACAAGGTTTTGTCATCATTTGTTATGTTAACCTTATATTAAAGTTTTTCTTTATTACCCATTCAAGCTGTCTCCAAGCGTTATTAAAACCTATCCTCTTCCCTCTAACGGCGCTTAGTTGAACTAAGTAATAATGTGAGGTAATGTATACCAATGGAGCATGGACTATGAGGCAGCTAAGAAGAATGGGAAATGCATACCACCTCCTTTTGGTTCAACTCTGGATAAAAGATGGACAAAGAGTAATAAATATGTTTGTGTCCCTAAATGCATATACAAAAGGTATTATTAGGTTGCATATATTTATTCGAGATGTGAAACTCGGAGGTTATGGCATAATAAATTAAGAGCTAGTAAACGTGATACCATATATATATATACATATATATATTTGTAATCCTCACGCACTTCTTGCAAATTTCTAGTTTTCTGTTTTACTTTAAGTTATTTTATTTGATACAGTAAATTAATGAATTATTTCCAGTAGTTAAGTGGCGAAAACAATGAGAAAGTTTAATTAACCGCTAACATTACTTAGTCAGTATATTACCAAATTAATACGATACTACTATTATTATCTCTAGTAAGACCTCGTTTTATAGAGCCACATTCAAGGATTCTAAATCACACCCAATAAAGTTAGGTGTACTTTTGTACTTAACGATAACCGTAAATAATATTTTATAATTACACCTATACTAAGAGAGAAAAAAACAATCAGTTTCAATAAATTCATAAATAATAATAACATAATTAAGCCTAATGAGTTAGTCAGTTAACAATAAAAGCTCTAGTTATTTTAGCAATGAATGTATTTACACACTTATCTGGGAAGCTTACACTTACCCAAGCACAATCAACTAAATTTTATCTTATTTGGGTTATTTCAAAGAATATACTACGCACTATACATTAAAGCATAGTGGATAACTAAATTAGTCTCTGTGCTTAAATATATATTCAAGGTGATACAAAAGCTATTGCAATGTTATTTTACATTGTTACAGGATATGATTTTCTCTGACGGCGTTTTAAGAGAAAAGAATGCATTTTGCTCTCAATTTATAACCAGTCAAAGTTCTGAAAAACTAATTCCTGTTAAAAAAACAAACAACAGACAATGACGTAATTGGACTTTAGGAAAAAAAGACATGAAAAATTCATTGGGTCTAACAAAGAAGTTTAGTCCAACTAATTCCGTATTTCATATATTAGCTTATTTACACTACACAGCACAAGGCACTCACTGTCACAACCTCATCTATATTCCATAACATAGGCACATTTAATCGACCGAACTTCCTTTTGTAGGTGCTTATATACGCGAACAGATAAATAATTTGGGGCTATTTTATGCGAAAAATAATGTATGTATATTTAGTTATTTCACAAAATACAGAGCAAAATAATAATTTCTAATACGTTTATTCAGCTAAGAAGATACTATAATCATTGAGTTAAACGAGTATATTTTTCTGAGGCACTTTAACAGGTATATAAAACAGTCGTGAGATATTATTAGGATTACTGCCGAAAATGTCGTTAACAGCAAGAGTATCCAACTGACGAAATACTGTATTCTAATCTTTATAAGTAGAAACGTAAGAAAATTATATTTAATTAGCTATGCTGGTTGCCAAGTTGATTTTTAGCTTCGCTTTTAGAACATGTCTTGCTCTGATTGGAAGTTAATATCAATACAAGTATATCGCTGCAAGCAACGTCAAGAAGTTATCACTGCAGTTAAACATTAATCTACGCTGACAAGGCAGTGCCTATTCAAAAGAAAATTATACTTCTGTTGCTAAACCTTCTTTGCCTTAGAGCATAATGAAGTCTGGATGCGTAGAGCATCCCTATTCCGATTAAATGTCATTCACAACTTTAGGATTTATGTAGGAAAATCCTGTAGGAAAAGCTCTTTAATATCCTTACTAGTGTGAATGGATCCCCACTGGACGTCAGATTCCGGGAATTAGGGTTAACGTATGAATTTATACATATCTTAGATCACTTTATTTGTTTTAGTGATCAAAAATGTTTTGTAAATAGGGTTGTGTTTCGTTATGAAAAGTGGATGTTGAATTACTCTAGACGAGAGAGAGGTAAGCAAAATTAAAAACGGAGAATACTAATTAATAACCTTTTTGGTATGTAAGTAGTTTAACATACAGAGTCAATAACAGTAAACAAGATTCTGGCATAGGCATTTAAACCTGAAGTACCACACTTAAATTTATAATTGTTTTCTTAGCAGCAATAAAAGTTTTGTTTGTTTTTGTAATTAAGCACAAAGCTACACAATGGGATATCTGTACTCTGCCCACCACGGGTATCAAAACCCGGATTTTAGCGTTGTAAGTCTACACTGGGAGGTAGCAATAAAAGTAACTGACCACACCAGACAATGATTGGCGAACTGCATTTATACGCAAACACACATCTAAAACTTTATAGGTTTAATTAACACACTTACTCTTGAATTAAATTTTCCAAGCCTAAAGAGCCAACGCAAAGTGTCAATAATCATCTCAAAACTGACATTTAGAAATATATGTTCGATAAACTATCAAATGTTTCGTCCAAGTGTGTGACTTATTTGTTTCAAGAAAATCGGATTTCTAATCAGTGGTGCAAAAGATGATTTTAGTTTGAAATTTTGTTTTATTAAAGTTTAAGTTTAGAAAACCATAGTTTCAAGTTCTTAGATTCTTTATGCACCATTAAACATCCTATAGATACTTTGTAAACAAAACAGAAAATATCAGGCTTCATCACGGTATAATGATGAAATATTTAGCCGTTCATTGATTCTTACACGGTTGCTGAATTATCTATTGACCAGAACGAAAAATAATCAAAAACGAAAAGATAAATAATAACTTTTTTTTTTAGTTTTATCTTAGTTGAGGTAAAAATATTGCCATTCTGTCTCGGTAGATTGAATTCCACGTATCAAAATCAGGAACTCTACAAACGCCCTCTATCTATACCTTTTCCCCCTTCCAACACATCATTTGCAATGTACTTGAAAACAAACATTAGTGCGAAACAACTACTTTACTTGCGAAACTTCAAATTTTATATAATATATATGATCCAATAGGAATTAGCTTGAAATAAATGGTCATTTGCATTCTATCTTTTATGCAAGCGATGCTTGGATTATTTTCTTAGAAAACCTTGATGCCTTTAACAAAACACAAAATTATAATTGACCTTAAAGATGTGAAAATGTATGGACAAAGTGTCTTAGATCCTGAGTGTTGAATAACCTTTATCGGTACTTCTGCAATCACCAGTAATTTTTCTTAACAGCTCTTAAGATTATCATAAAATCACTTTGATACCTTAAAGTGATTTTTTAAAATGTATTTTTAATCACGAGCCCAAAAAGCTTTTATACAAATGACTAAAATGTCATTTTTAACTATCTCATTTATATTTCAAATCGGTTGAGATTTTAATTTATAGGCCAGTCATCACATTTAAAAGCAAAATAATCGTATGTCGTGCATGGTTGCTCGCCATTATTCCAGTGATTAATAATGTAGATGAATTTGTCTGATCTTCTGGCAGGCTGTTATTCTCATAAAACGGCGTATTTTGTAGACTTGATAACAAAAGACTAAGCACAGTGGATACCAACTATTAAATAAAGTAGCCATATTAAAAGATATAAGAATGCTAACAATATTATTAGCTACTGATTTAAGGATTAAGTAAACATGTAGGTTAGTTAGTCAACGATTGTCTGCAAAAGTTATAACATTTTACATATCGAGTGAAAAATAATAACATAAACCGAATTAGTTACGGTACATAGTAAATAAACAACTTCATATATAAAATGTTAGTAAAATGTAGTTAAAACAAAACTTTTAACATTCTCAAATACATTTCATTCAATCCACTCATATTCTTATCAAAACGGTTGAATTACACGGAGTAATAATTGATATTTTTACATCGTGTGATTATATGACATTAAGTTGTGCAACCAAAGTTTCATTAGAAAACATTTCAATATCTACGTCATAATATCTGTTTTATTTTAGCGAAAAACTGTGTCCGAGCAAGAATCTAATCTCGAATTCTAATGGTATAAGCTCCCAAGCTTACCGCTGAACCACTGGGAGATATCATCATAAAACTACAATAAAAGATTATATGAATTACAGGTAGTTTTATCAACGGAGAGGAGATTTATAAAAGCACAAATACACACACAAATATATATATATCTATATATACATCCAACTACAGTAAAAGGTGAAATAAATTAAGGTAGTTTTATCAACGGAGAGGAGATTTATAAAAGCACAAATACACACACAAATATATATATCTATATATATATCCAACTACAGTAAAAGGTGAAATAAATTAAGGTAGTTTTAAGAAGAGATTTGTAAAAGCACAAACACACACACACACATATATATATATATAAATATATATCTAACTAAAATGAAAGGTGAAATAAATTACAAGTAGTTTCATCAAGGGAGATGAGATGTCGAAAAGCACACACACACACACACACAGGTATATATAGATATAGCCAATCACTTAAATCGATTGTATTAGCAATGTTCAAACATTAATATCAGTTCATTACTTAGAGAAAGGAGCTTATTAGAATGATAGAAAAATAGTAATTGTTAGTAGTCGGAATGGCTTAAATGCTGCATAAGACTAGTTTTTGTTATATCTCCCTAAATTAAAATTATTTTTTTACGTGACGCAAATTAGGTAAAAAACCGTTTCGAGTTCATATTTCGCGTTCGCTTTATCATGATTTCCGATTTATTTTGCGGCGTCTCAGACCGGATATGTTTTTTCTCCCCTTAAAGATCCACTCTAAGTTTCCTTATTCCTTTCTCGAGAGGCTTTTCCTGTGATCAGCGTGGTCGTGGGACAAGTGATAGATTTTATCATAAAACTATGAAGGACAGTTGACGTAATGGTTTTCTGTATAATGTTAGCAGTGATAAAGAAATAAGGCTAGAGCTCCTTTTTACGATCGTAGACAGATGCAAGTTTTAAAAAAAAGTTACATGGTGCATTCATTATTATTATTATGCATCTTATAACATTTTCGGATACAAATATTTCAGTCCAATACAAATCCCAAGAAATTGCTTACATTAACCTAAAAAAGAAGTTTTGAGTTATATAACAGGAAAGCTTGTAGAAGAAAAAAATCACATGAAAACGCACTATAACTTCACTCACCTTCTCTGCTGCGGCTTTGACCATATGACCTGAGATTATTTGACTCTCGACCAGCTGATAAAAAAAAGAAATATAACATAAGTAAATAACGATTTAGGTTTGTCATAAAATCTTGTTGTAGAATTTTCTTCCGGCAACAGTTTTTTGTGCTATTATGAATAATATCCAAACTGTTCCACCAGTTATGTGGGTTTATGTATTAAACGTGAGCTGGAAAACAGTAATATTATGTCTAATGTTTCCTTTTCGTTGCATGAAATTCTAAATACGAAACCAAACTTCACAAATTTTGAAACTTAAGCTTGTGTATATACGAATACATCATTTCATTTCAGTTTCAACAGAACATGCAACCCAAGATGCACAAGTAAACAACACTTAACACAGTCGTTTAGGGTTTGGGTTTCTAGAGTTACAAAGATAAGGATATTGTAAATCTTACAAAATATAATTCTGCCCATGAGTCAAGCAGAAAATGAATCACGTGGTGAATCTGGTTATTGAAGGCTAACTTAGAAGATTAACAGAAATATGAGAAGCCACACGTCACTGTGATACTGTCTGCTGATATTGTTTAACAGTTTTGTTTTATCCTGTTTGAGGAACTAACACACAACATTTCAGGTATTTAAATAAAAAAAATTAAATAATTAGTTAGTATAAGAAAATATTTTTGCTTAGGAAATTATCTGAGTTCGTATATATATATATAACTCGTCTGTTTAAGACTCTTATTCTGAATTATTAATTTTCAGCTTTTAACCAGCACCCTAATTTCTACATCGGTGGTAGTAATAAATACTTTGTGCCACAATTTACCCTTTTTATATTAGAGTTATTAACATTCAACTATGGCAAAGATTTTCAAGGAATCGAAATCAACATTTTGCTCGTAGACTCTATGTTTTTAGAGTTTAGTTAGGTAAATGTCAAAGTTCATTAAGTGTCTTAGCACTTAATGTGTTCATTTGACACCACACATATCAAATGTTTGTGCAAATGTATTCCCTAAAGAACGTTTTAATCAGAAAGTCACGTGCCTAGGCGAGATAAATATTATCATAAATGACCATGTGTTTCCAGATAATATTCTAGGTGTCCTAGATCTAAACCCTCACGTGGGCTTACAGGCAGCTTTAATAATATCATAATTCCTAACATTTTTTTTAGACTTAATATCATTACTAATGGTTTCATTCTAGAATTTACTTTCAGATTTTAGGGATTGAATACTGAGCTACAACTTTTAAAATCTTCTCCAGTAAGTGGATGTATTAAGTACCATTAGACCTATTAAAAGTTTTAGGTTTTAGTTTTCATAAGCATTGTTATTCTACAAATGTAGACTAGTCAAGATCATAATTATTAAGTGTCATTAGACCCACTTAAAGTTTTCGTTTCAGGTTTTGGTTTTCATGAGCACTGTTTTTCTACAAATCTAGTCTAGTCAAGATCATAATTATCATATCTGATTATATTGTTGAAGATGAGCATATTTGTAGGGTCCTAGGTCTTAATTTAATCACAGTGGAATGCAGGGAGTCCAAAATATGTCATAGCTGGACCAAATATATTTTATAATATGACTAATTGATAATCGTGCGCAGCAGCATATGATAGCTTAGTATTGCTTATAACTTATCTCTTGTAATTCAAATGCTTATTGTGTTGTTCTGTAAGTTAAGTGTTTGTATTATCATTATTTGTAACTGTGTGCTACAAGTGTGTCGTTGTTATAGTGTTTTTGATTAACATGGTTATCATTTTTCTGGAAACAATAAAACCATGGAAAATGTTAAAGTCAGCTTGAACAAGAATTATTTATTTATATATATATATATATACACACACATATATATTAGCGTGTTTGTTAAAAAATATCAAGAAATATTGAAAACTGATTTAAATTCGAGTGATCTTTTGCGACAGAATCAAAGTGAGTCACTAATTAGTGAGATATTTAGTGTTCCGTTCAAAGAGCATATCACTAAGGGCAGATAGTGTAAGTTAGGTCATATCAAATGAGACAGAAAGTAGGCTTGATTGGAATTACGACTATACAGATATAAACTGTCTTAATTTCCTAAAGAAAGAAATTCAACAAGTTTAAAAAATTGTGGAGCTGCACAAGTAAGCTTTTGCAATTTAAATACTTCTATATCTTATATAAATAATCAATTTCTTGCTTGCAAATAGTTCTGAGACATCTAAAAGTTATAAAAATAATTCAGGTAAAAGCCCATTACAAAACATTATTTATGTTTTATTTTCAGAGAGCATTCACATCTTACATATGCCATTTTATTATGACACGCTGTCTTATGGTTATTTCTCATATTTGCTTATTTAATATTTTTTCTTTTACTCCACATTGCAAAAAAATAACGCACAAATTGTATGATTCCTACTTGATAATTTCTGTTCTTTATTCTATAGTCAGTTCGATTCCATTTTCACTAAAGCACTCATCCCCACTAATTATATTTAAATGTAATTTCCGGATCTCAGTACTTATTTTCAAAGTTAAGTAAATATTTCCATTTTAAAACGCAATTCACTTGAAATTATGAAATAATGACTGAACATTTTTCACATTATTGTCTTTTTTTTTCATGCAACTCTCGTTGAGATCAGCTTAAAGTTTTGTTTCCGACATACCAACTGATTCGGGCTATAACTTTTGACTTTGTAATTATTGCATTGTTTTATCATTAATAAATCGATTTTCTACAGAGGTTGAATACGTTTCAGTAAAACTGTTTTGGAACCTCAAAAAGGCCAGTCATGCTATATCTGACGACCGTACATCTTGACTATAGCCCTGAAGCACAGTTTCCATCGCAAAAGATCCGTAGTAAATCTATCATGTCTAAAGCACACCGGCCCGGCATGGCCAGGTGGTTAGGGAGCTCGACTCGCAATCTCCGGGTCGTGGGTTCGAATATCCGTCCCACCCAACATGCTCGCTCTTTCAGCCGTGGGAGCGTTATAATGTGACAGCCAGTTTCACTATTCGTTGGTAAAAGAGTAGCCCAAGAGTTGGTTTTAGAGCTGCCTTCCCTCTAGTCTTACGCTGCTAAATTAGGAACGGCTGGCGCAGATAGACCTTGTGTAGCTTTGCGCGAAATTGAAAACAAACAAACTAAAGCACACCTTTCCTCCCTGAATGTTTTCCATAGTCTATCTAGTGCACGAGGACGACATATTTCCCGCACTCGTTTCAACAGTGCAAGCGTACAATTGTTGACCTGGCGTGGTCTGGTGGTTAATACGCTCGATCTGCAATGTGCGGGCCGCGGTTTGAACCTCCGTCACTGAACATGCTCGCTCTTTTAGTCGTGGGGGCGTTATAATGTGATGGTCAATCCCACTATTCGTTGGTAAATGCTTCGCCCACGAGTTGGCGGTGGGTTGTGTTGACTAGCTGCTTTTCTTCTAGTCTATCACTGTTAACTTAAGGACAGTTTACGCTGTTAGTCCTCGAGTAGCTTATACTAGTTTTCATATACTAGATTGATTGTAGTTAATAATATATTACTTATTTAGAACATTATCTAGTATGTGAATAAAGTTGACTTGAGTTGAAACTATAGGTGCTCCGTCTGGCGACTTGACCGATGTGTCTTTACATGGAATAACATGAATACCTGTTTTATTTTCCAGCTGCTTGAGGAATGCGACGGTTGAACAGGAGGTATGACTGAAAGCTTTATCTTGGTGAATCCATGCCCTATAACCTCGTATCCAATCAGAGATCCTTTGTGATTATTTTGCATACTATTATCTGCAACATGTGGACGGCTTTGCTACTGACTTTTGTGTTCGTGGATTTTCACCTGTTACAAATAACACATTTTGCTTACCACAGCTGAGGTGCGACTTTTTTCTCGTCTCTTTTCACGCTTATGATGTGAGTCTATGAATATTTTGCGTCGGAAAGAGTTTTTACATACCATCCCCAAAAGCAATACATTTTCAGGGGCATCACATTGTCTACGTAAAGCCAATGTCAAAATCTAGTTCTTATACAAGTCATTCTACGTTGTATTGGCTGTGGTTGTCACGTGACTTGCTGATTTGCATTTTCAAAATATTTTAAATATAACTTGTCCATTCTTCTGCACGTCTTTTACCCTATGTATACTCTAAATGCTGTCCACCCGCTTTCTGTGATAATTGTGGAAAATGTGTTGTTGTTTTTTTTGCGTTTTTTTTTTATAATAGTGCCTATCCTTCTGCATTCTAACCTACACAATTCTGAATACATTCTTAAGAGACTATTGTACTTACTCAAGAATGAAAGGATAATTTCTTTGGTGTGGTTATACAAATTCACTCGAAGTAACTTCGCGTGAACAACATAATTAATGGGTTATTGTAATTGGAACAGCACAAAAAGTCACCAAAACATACTGTCGTAAAGGGCTTCAATATACCTGATACATATATTCTGATATCTTGAGAAATACTTCAAACTCTATATCCAACCACTCCGAATACTCTTATTTCTACTAAATCAAGAGCACCAATAACAGACAATCGAGATATAGTGTTTGAAACTATAATCAAATAAATCAAAAATAATACTTGAGAATATCAGATAATGATTTTCTAGATGTAAACGTACTTGTATAATATTTATTATTCACCTTTTATTTCAAAGGTTGTAAGAAATAAAAATAATATGGTAAAAACTTAGCATTTGCTAAATAATGCACTTGGCGACTCAAAAGTACCTCTGCACATTCCTCCTGTGCAATTGGCTGTCATTAAGTCCTTGCCTTCACAATAACGACCACCATTAGCTGGTCTAGGGTTGGAACACGTTCGACGTTGATGGTGTCTACAGTCTAGACCACAGGTTGACCACGAAGACCACGATGTCCAAAGACCATCTATCGCTGTAAGACGGAAAATAAAATATATTTAGTAACCATAAACCAGACATCCAATTATGACTATGAATAGAAATGTAACGATACTGTTAGGTTTCATTGCCTCATAAAACCTGCATAATAACAAATATATATTGTTATACAGAGGACACACTGATGAATCGCTTTCCGTATTATCAACCCATCTTAGTTTCTTGTGGACAGCATTGATTTTGTTTATATATTTTAGAGCAAAGCCACATTGGGCTGTCTGCTGAACAACACAGATAATAATCAGTTTCTGATAGTTATGTTTACTAACCACAAGTTACTTCCTACTGTCATCTTTTTGATCATTATCATTAAGCTTCAAACATTCATTTGCATAATTTGAGCTATTATATGCACAACGAAATATAAGTAGGTGTGGTAGAAATTTGTATTTTTATTTATTACACAAATGGACTTTTGATGTATTTTTTTCATTAATGGAAACGCTGTTAGCGAAGGACATCTATTTTAACAAATTACTGTATATATATATATATATATTACAGAAGGTCTAGCATGGAAACGCTGCTAGCGAAATACATCTATTTTAACAAATTACTTTATAAATGTATATATCACAGAAGGTCCATGTTCGTTTCTACGTGCACTTAATTGCATTAAAAGTTGAACTGGATATTAAGCATGAAATAGAACTTCACAAGGCCGTGTTTGAAGCAGCTTTGTACAATATGGACCTTGTCGAAAGCAAACTTTAGGATGGTATCTGAAACTTTAAACAAACCAGAGTTACTTAATCATCCATCATGGCTGCGTGGTTTGTAGTTTCAGAGTCAGCTTATAGTTGATAGATGTGTAAACAGCGATTCTGTTCATCTTTGTAACATCTAACCATTTCTATAGACTCTTATTACATAAAAAATACACCATCACTGCTAGAATGAAACGAACCGCGTTTTTTATATGAAACACATGTTCCGCATTTAAGAATGGTATCAACTTATTCTTTTGATAAATACTAGGATTCTTGAAAAAATGACTTTCAATATCGGAGAGAACTCTACCAGTATTAAGCAATGTCATGTAAACAAAATAACAAAATTATATTTCCTAAACCTAAAATATTTCTGATAATTTTCATTAGATTTGAAATATGGTATTACATATATTAACTAATAACTACGATCATGACCTTATAACCTAGAAAGTATCCTATAAAAAAGTATTTTCAGGAAAAGTCTTGCTGGCTGTAAGAAACATTTAAGATGAAGAAGCAGGAAGGTCAATTTAAAATGCTATTTCTAGAAACTTTTAGTATAAGACTTGCAATGACCGGATATTCACGAAATATTTTGTCACACGTTTTAGACCTAACCAAAATTTCTGCTCTGTTTGTAACATCACGGATTTATGTATCTTTATAAAATAAGAAAACTCGAAAATAACTAATAAAATTTCGGTTTTTAAAACCGTTTTAGAAAATATGAACACTTAAAGACAACCCCCCCCCCCGTGGCTCAGCGGTAAGGATGAGGTTTACAACGCTAAAATTCGGAGTCCGATCTCCGCCGTGAGCATAGCGAAGGTAACTCATTGTACAGTTTTACGCTTAAACAAACAAACAGAAGAGAAAACGTTATTTTGATCACCAGGGCACTAAAAGTTTAAAACATAGCTATAAAATGCATACATTTAATGGTTGAAGGCGACTTAAGTCCATATATAGAAAATGTTGTTCATTTACTTTTTCGCTGTCATATTGAACTCATATATAACACCCTCTAGAGCACTGCTATAAATACATATATGTGTAATTAAGTAAATGTTCTGAAAAATTGATATTTAATTGCATCAGTGCATTTATGATTAATTAAAAAATCCTAAATTGTGCATATTAATTTGCATAGTTTGGAAATAGATGTACAAACAATTATGTTACTTAATGCTTGTTATTATATGAGAGCGCAGTCATCCTGAAATATTTCACGCAATTATCTCTAACAACTTAAAGATTTATGCTGATGTGACAAGTTATAAGCAAGATACAAATATTTATACAACACTACAAATGTTAATGTGTTTATATCTAAAAAAAAACCTTTCACTGCAAAATTGTTTGTCCATGAACTTGACAGTGAAAGAGTTGATATATTTTGTAATTTGAGAAAATATTTGTTTGATTGTTTGTTTTGTTGATAACAAAGCTACACAATGGGCTCTTGTACTGTAATCCCCACGGGTATCGAAACTCGGTTTTTGACATTATAAGCCTTCAGACTTACCGCTAAGCCTCTGTGGGACTCTGAAAGATTTAATAGTGAAAATATTTACTTTTATGACTACAGCTACATGTTTTCAGACACTATTATGTTGTCAAGTGACCAAAAAAAACCTGATGGTTTGTTTTGAATTTTGCGCAAAGCTACACGAGAGCTATCTGCGCTAGCCGTCTCTAATTTAGCAGTGTAAGACTAGCTGGGAGGCAGCTAGTCATCACCACCCACCGCCAACTCTTGGGCTACTCTTTTACCAACGAATAGTGGGATTGACCGTCAATTTATAACACTCCCACAGCTGAAAGGGCGAGCATGTTTGGTGTGACGGGGATTCAAACCCGCGACCCTCAGATTGGGAGTCGAGCGCCCTAACCACCTGGCCATGCCGGGCCAAAAACCCGATGAAAAAATTGTGAGTACAATCACAACAAAATAATATCAAAGTTAAGAATACAAAAATCCCTGTTCAATCTTACATAGAGACACAAATGCTCTACACCGATGACTCGGAAAAGTTTATTTGCAAAGAGGACAAAAGCCATTACTTGATTAAGAAGTACACTTCAGATTAAGACATTCTAAGCCCAAAGTACAAACGTAAGAAATTTAAACTGATTAATATGTTCAGTAAATCTACTTGGTTCTCATTGTATAAGTTTCTCGCTTTAGAATCATTCATTGATTCCATTGGTTGTGTTTAACAAACCAAACACGGAACAAAAAGTAGAAAACACATATATATCCAACTAAACCTTACACTTTAATTCTCCTCACGTGCAAGGTTCGAATTAATAAATTGTAATTGGTTATCGAGTTTAAATAAAATTCAAAACTCTCTGCTTTTATCTCCTCGCCCAAGGTCTTAAGTTATGTGTTATCACACAGGCTATTTCAATCGAATTAACTCATCAAGATTTAACGTATTAAACTAGCTCGAATTGCTCCTGGATGTGGACGAAAATGTTATGAATGTGTTTTTCCGTTTGTTAGCAAAACACCCCAAAAATTTCAACCACCTGATTTACGTCTCTTCCCAGTCCAATCCAGATAATCCCAATACTTGCACCACTTGATTTACGTCTCCCCCAATCCAATCCAGATAATTCAAATACTTCAACCACTTGACATACGTCTCTCTCCAATCCAATTCAGATAATCCAAATACTTCGAACACTTGATTTACGTCTCTCCTCAATCCAATCCAGATGATCCAAATACTTCGAACACTTGATTTACGTCTCTCCCCAGTCCAATCCAGATTCAAGTATAAAAATAGGATAGTCATCATTATAGCACGTACAGATTTTATATCGTTTTTCTTCGTAATATCTTCTAACTGCAGACTCTAAGGACTACCATTATTATTGAAGAATATTTTTGGCATGATTCGTTGATCAGCCAGTATAATAATGTAACTCAGATAGTTCCAAAAAACGCTTCTTCCTTATTTATCACGACCCCTGCTATGCAGTAACTAGAAATATCTACTAAAAAAAGGCTTAAATTTTTAATGTGTGACTTGACCAATGTCCTTGAAATTTTATCAGACGTTCTTTCTTTTTAAAAGAAACAGTAAACATTACCGGTATATTTACTGGAATTCAATGTTTGTCCATAAACATAAATTGTGAATATAAGACTCTCCTGCAAAAAAAAATACCATGGTAATAGTGAGTAATAATAAAAAACAACGATTTATGGAATTTGACTGAAGTCGATTACAGAAAGACTTAAATATAAATAATACACATGAAAGTGTAGAAAGTAAAACATCTCTGCCCACTCAGTACAATCACTTTTTTTTTAAAGCGTATATTTTTAATGTCTTGTTGCTTAAAATTTAATACATAAAATTTATTGCTTATGCTTAATGTTTTCTGTTATAATCGTACAAGATATCAGCGTGAAATTCATCTGCTGTTAATTAATTCTCTGGTATAAAAAAAATGTTGTGGTGATTGATAACATAGGGTTTACCAACGATATATAATAGCGACAACGCCATTTACAACGACACTATTGGAGCCAACAAATCAAGAGAGCTCATTAGAGATAAAAAAAAAGGCAGAAAATATACACACGTAAGTACCTTACTGTTTAATTGAATTTTACAATTATTTCAACCATAAAAACAAAGTGGCAAAAATCACTAGTATTTAGTGATAATTTAGAAATTGGAAATTGTTTCGCTTGTGAGTGTTTGATTTGGGAAAATTAACCCCAAGTTTAACTTTCAATAATGAAGTATCATCGCATTAATCACAAACATAGCCTGTAAAAGTTTGGTTTTCACAGTATGAAGTGGTGGGTGTCTTTATGGGCAGCATCTCGTCTTAGATATGCGTAGGCTGGAAATCACAACAGTCTTAATTAACTTCTTTCACAGTTCCAGAACGAAAAGCGTTTGTTATCCACGCTTGATTTATTCACGTATTGATACACATGACACAGTCAGATCGTTTTGCAAGTAAAAGCTTGGCTTAGAGAAGCTGTAGTAAACAACAAAACAGTTACGAAAAGAAATATGTTTTGCGTCTTACTGAAAGCGCCGTAACGTTATTTAATGACGTTTCTGATGATAAATGTGAATTTGAGCTTAAGTAAAAGCAGTATAGTATTCATCTTTCTATTGTATAAACCAGTGCTCTCTGTCTTCCTCATATGACACACCATTGACACAAAAACATAAAAATATACAAACACATTCCAGTAAATGGTATAAAACCAAAACTTCCTTGACTG